ATCCCTCTAGTCATGGATGGCTTCCTCAATCCCAGGAAAACCATCTCTTTCTCAGGCTGTGTCATGCAGATGTTTCTCTCTTTTGCCATGGGAGCCACAGAGTGTGTGCTTCTGGGAATGATGGCGTTTGATCGCTACGTGGCCATCTGTAACCCCCTGAGGTACCCCGTGGTCATGAGCAAGTCTGCCTATGTGCCCATGGCTGCCAGCTCCTGGCTGGCTGGTGGAGTCAACTCCTTGGTACAGATGTCTCTTGCAGTACAATTACCCTTCTGTGGGGACAACGTCATCAACCACTTCACCTGTGAGATCCTGGCTGTCCTGAAATTGGCCTGTGCTAACATCTCCATCAATATAATCAGTATGGGGGTGGCCAATGTGATCTTCCTGGGGGTTCCAGTTCTGTTCATCTTTGTCTCCTACATCTTCATCCTCACCACCATCCTGAGGATTCCCTCAGCTGAGGGCCGGCGAAAGGCCTTCTCTACCTGTTCTGCACATCTTACTGTGGTGGTCATCTTCTATGGGACTATTCTTTTCATGTATGCAAAACCCAAATCAAAGGACTCCCTGGGGGCAGACAAGCAGGACGTTTCAGACAAACTCATCTCCCTCTTCTATGGAGTGCTGACTCCCATGCTCAACCCTATCATCTACAGCCTCAGAAACAAGGATGTAAAGGTTGCTATGAAGAACTTAGTGAGTCAGAAATGCTTAGCCCGATGATAGTGGGAGGAAGCAGTGTATCTTGTGATTCTGTGCACACAGGGGATCCCCTAGGAAATGACCACATGATAAGCATAGACCTGCCTGATGGTCCCACACATCAGTTTCATTACAAAACTGCTCAAACAACGCACATCTGGACAGAGCTTTCCTGAATAATTGACAATAAAACATCAGCTCTTTAGAATGAAGGGGGGGGTGGCTGTGGTAAATCACCTTGAACCAAGGATAAATCACTATTAAAATTTATTTTTATTCTGAAAAACAAGCAATAAAATTAAGACTTTGTAAAAAAATATATACTTCTTTTTTTGTTCATGTGCAGACTAGCTATAATTTGTATGTGACAATTACATTGCTTTCTGCTCTACTGTGTAATGGGGAGTGTGGCAGTGTATTAAGGTGTCCAAACTAAAAATTAACCTGCATTTTGG